ATAATTTGCATCGTATACATCATCATGTGCATTACACTGTATACATCAGTTCACTTGTGGCTCAGTCCACTCAGCCCTCTTCTCCATGCAACCCTTCTGAGAAACTATGTGTTTGTGGGGGCAAGGAGTGAGCGTTCACAACCTGTGCATTTTTCAAATCCTGAGGTCTCTGAAGAAGCTTTTTTTTATGCTCCTAATTAAAAATAAAAAATAAAAATGGGGCTTCCGTGCAGGAATGATTTGCATTTGGTGTAACACTACTGCCGTGCTGCCTTTTGCAGCTGAGACACTGGAGACAATGAGGAGTTTTATTAGGAGAGGAATTTCAATTGAGGAGAACATTAACTTCTGCTTACTATAGAATCATAGAACCATAGAATGGCCTAGTTGGGAAGGGATCTTAGAGATTATTGAGCTCCCAATCCCTGCCATGAGCAGCCAACCCCTAGATCAGGCTGCTCGGGACCCCATCCAACCTGGCCTTGAACATCTCCAGGGATGGGGCATCCACCGCTTCCCTGGGCAGCCTGTGCCAGTGCTTTACCCCTCTCTGAGTACTTCTTCAAGTGTAGATGGAAGCACAGGAGCTGGCACTGTTGAGGTAGAGTGTTGGTCTTGTCAAGTTGCCATGAACCTGGCTGAGTCATTGCTGTCACTAAATTTCCAGTATTCTCTTCTGTGAAATGGTTCATTTAAGTATACATACAAGCAAAGCCATTGTGACAAGTTGTTTTGGGTATAGACAACATTATCTAGCAGCCAGACTCCAACAGCTGCATCCTGAAGTATCACACAGCCAGATCTCAGCCTGCTGCATCAGCCTGATGACTGCAGGAGCTCCATAGGGAGTGGTGGGACAGGCCTGGTCTGGGCAGCTGCAGGGCTGTGGCAAATAATGGCTGTCAGGTGGACCTTTGCAGCATCTTTCCTGCTGCAAGGCACCAGCAGTGCATTTGGTGGTGGTGTCAGAGTGCACTGGGAGATAGGTGAAATGTTCTTGTAGGACATGCACATTCCACTGACATCATTTTTAAGTTCTAAGGCAGGAGAAGAAACGATGTGAGCCAAGATGAAGAACAGGGACTTTTAAAACCTGCCTTTTGAATGTGTTTTTTAAAAATGTGCAGCATATCTGTTGTGTTTTGTGATTAGTAACAAGTAGTCTTGTGCTTCCTGATCCGTGTTCTGTCAACTCTGGCAAGAGCGTGTGGAATTTATTTTGGACTCACTTGGATTATGTCAAGCCATTTCACACACTCATGCCCTGGCACCGAATGTACCAGTACACAGCTCCAGCTGGGTCATGCTGCTGCTCTGACCAGGTCAGACACGGTGCAGCCTTAAAAAACAAACAGGTGTCCACTGTGAGAATGTGCTGCAGTCAACAATGTGCCCTCCTCTCCTGGGAGCAAGAAGGTCACTGTGTGGCACTGCAGGAGAAGGCTTTGGAGGCCAGATCTTCCAGGGGCAATTTGGGGTTGCTCAAAAAGGTGTGAATGGGGCTTCAGAAGAGTGGTCCTGCTGAGTGTAACTCTTTCTCACAAATGTCTTGACTAAGTCTCACAGCCAGCTGAATCAGCACCGTGTCTTGAGATGCTGATAGGAAGAAAAATCAGATAACACAACTAGTATGGCATCTCTACCATGCCCAACTCTATGAACTACTGAAGAGCTGAGATGATAGCCGAAGGAAGCGTGACAGCTGCTAGAGCTGCCATGGGGAAATTTGGAATAGGACACTCACAAAATATGGGAGACAGTGAACCAGCTGATACTTCACAACCAATGTTTTATAGCCCATCTTTCTTCAAGAGGGGGAGTCGGTGCTGGGTGTAGGGAAATGGCAATACAGTCACCATTGTCACTGGTCATGGAGGAAGCCCAACAACACCATGCAAGTCACAAACAGAAATGTGCCCTACAAAGGAAGCGTGTTGGTGTCTGAAACTGCTGTTCTTTTTCATGCTGGTGAAACTTAAGTCTACACAGCTATGTCTGCAGAGAAGCATGAAAATTCCTCGCAAGAAAATCTTGTGATAACAGTTGGCATGCTTTGCAGGCCAGAGATGCTGACAGACAGCTCTCAGAAAGTGAACAGGAGCACTAAACGAGAATATTAACATCTACCCACCAGGAATGGAGTACTGGGGCTGCACTCTGCAACTGAAATGAATTGACAAAGCCTGCGAATGTGAAGTAGTCAAAGGTTTGCATCTCTCTAGGCAACTTGACAGCCCTACTGTGTAATACTCTCGGTGGCTGCTCTTCCCCCATGTGCTTGATCCATTGCTGCAAATTGAATGAATGCCTAGAGAGGCTGTCAGCTGGTGGGATTTTAAAGGAAAACAACAACAACAACAAAACAACAACAACAACAAAACTTTGCTGTTATTCTTATTTTGCATATACTTATTTTAATATATTTAGATGCAGAAGTACTTAACTGCATAAAGCCACAGATGTCTGAAAGCCTCTCAGGGATGACAGCATGCATGGATGACATTGTAGCCTGGAACACTGCTTTTTGTCTGCATTAGGAATGACTACAATTAGTAACGGAAATTGAAGACGGGAAACCACCTACGTCGATAAGAGATTTACTACAGATGGAGCCGTGCACAATAATTCTGAAAACCAAGCAATATTTAACATTCAGATAAAATGAAGATAAGTCTGAAATTCAGCCACTCAAAGGCAGTTAAAAGTAGGTCAGCGAGTTTAAACCCAGCACTGCAGTTTCAATAACTCACAGAAAGTGTCTGCATATTTTTCAAAACCCAGGCGAGCCTAAAGCCATTGCTTTGCAGCAAACCCAGAAGTTGACTGAACATCCAAAAGCCTGATCCAAGACTTTCCAATGCTGCAATAACATAGAAAATGAGACTACATCATTATCCTTTTTTAAGAAGTGTCCAGTCAGGGAAAAAAGTAAAAGGGTTAAGCTTCAGCTGACACAGAACTTGCTTCTAACATGAGCTTATTAGGAGCAAGAATATGCCTCTGTGAGAGCAACACAAGCATTAAGCTTGGCTGTGGCCTTTCAGTGACAGCATTACGCTCCTCTTTGGGCTTTGTGCAGTTTCAAGATGCTTTCTTCTGGCACAGTCTTGTCCATCACTTCCTTGATCAAAGGCAGAGCCCATATGCCAGGGCTACCAAAAGCCTATCTGCATGTGACAAGGTCAGTACTTTGTTGCAGATGGTGGAGGAGAAAAGGTAGCAAGTATTCAGTTTCCAGTGGATGGTGTAGGCAGTCTGACATAGGTAATGGCTACCTGAGAGCAGGCTAGGGCAGAGCTATCAGATGCAACTGTACTGGTCACCATTAGGAAAAACATATTGCAGGGTCCCTGTTGGCTCACATGGACTCAATTCTTTTAATAAAAATAGTTAGTGTTAATTTTGCTGGAGAACAGTTGCACTGGCCAGTTGCTGGGGCTGGCATGTGACTTCTCCCTTCTTGCATTTCAGAAAAGTTGGTATTTCTTCCCTCCTGAAGACACAGAAACTTCTGTTTTTGGCATGATGTTTCTCTGTGGGTCTTCAGACCAAAACAAGAGAATTGGTCAAAAAGAAAAAAGAAAAAAAAAAAACAGAAAAAAACCCAACCGCAAATAAAGTGAAACTGTGTTGCTGGCTAGAATCCTTAATCTCTCCTGATAGCACAGGAAGGCTTGTAGACTTCCGCAGCAAAGGACTCAGGTTGGTATTTGAATTTATTTGAGAAGAAATCAACCTAAAAATATAAGTGAAGACTGATGCTGTTTTTTAGGTTAGGTCTGCCTTATTTAGTGAGCCTCGTTACATGTTCAATGACATAAAACCAGGTGGCAGTTGACACACTAAACCAGTCTAAACGGGTCACAGTCTGCTCCAATGTCAATCATTCGCCTGAGGTCAGGAAGTAAAAGTAGGCCATGACTTCATTTCTAAAAACATCAGATTCATTTTTGTTCCTTGTTAGTTTTGTTCCACTCTCCTGTTAAACACAGTGGTCACGTGCATCCCGTGTGAGCAGCTGAACTCGAGAACGTGTCTGCAGGAGGAAGCCGTGCACTGGATTGCTGCTGCTCCCAGTGCAGTGCCCACCCTTCCTTCTTCTGGCTGCAGCAGGGCAGTTGTTTATTATCCCTCCTGCTTCCAGCAAAAAGCTTTTCAGATTTCACAGAACAACTCTCTCAAGCAGCTCTCTTTATGTATGCGAACTGTATACAGAGTTGTGAAACATGCTTACGGGGATAAAAGTCTTAGCTAATACAACGGTACGATGCTCTTTCCTTTGATGCGGTTCTGCCAATATGCATTACCTGATAGACACCTGCGGTGCCTCTTTTTCAGCAGGGTAATTACAGTAATACATAGCTGAAGTGGTTTTCTGGAAGCATAACATATAAAGCAGCCATCCAGAAACAGAGAGAAAACAAGAGAACCATTGTAAAACTGCATTTTCCAGCAAACAAAAGCATAGATTATGTCCACTGGACAGCGCTTAATTGTACAATCCTACCAGGTTCATTCCTTGGTTTCCTATCTGCAAGTAATTACTCCTTAGGGAAAAAAATATATATATTTCTTGAAATATCAAAATATCAAAATAGAGATATTTACTTTTTTTCCACATCCATTTCAGCTGTAAGGCCAGAAGTTAAAGAGCAGGGTTCTCTTTTTCAATCCCATGCTATAATAGAGTGAAAGCACTGATGCGGCAAAAGAGAATTGGCCCGAGATTTTTGCACAGGGGACATACCCCGACCTGGGTTTCCTTTAGTATGCAGCACCATTTTTTCTGTGTGACACTTCATCGTGTCAATGATGCTTTCAGCAGGTATTTGGGAGGCTTCTGCAATAAAAACATGGATGACTGCTGAATCAAGTGAAAATTCAACACAATCCTTTTAGATAAGATGATGAAGAACCTCTGACACAAGACTTTCAGTGATAATTTTCTATTGCATATTAAATAAAATTACTTAGAATAATACTCCAATTTTTAATTCCAGGAAGCTGCATGGATCATCAACATTCCTAAAGGATCTGAGGTAAATTCAATTATTGAGAAATGTTTCACCTGGTAGAGAAAAGTTGAGTGCCAGACATTACATTATTGAATGTCCGTTTATTGATTTCTGAGGAGTTATCCTATTACAGTTCTTTTATCCTGCTAAAGACTGCCTCACACGTTTTTGAAAAACTCTTCAGGTCTGAGCAGCCATACTGAAGGAGCAACTCATGTGGTCTAAATCGGCATGAGAAAAACAAAAAACAAAAACACCAAACCTCTTTAAAATTTGTTGCCAGTTGGGAAATAAGGTTTAAATTTGACAAGGGTCAAAACTGGTTTAAGTATCTTAAATATTCGTCTCAATGGAAAGAAGTGAACAAGCAGAAAACTTGTGTGAGGCAGTTCAAATCTAGGGAAAACAAAGAAACAAACAAACAAACAACTGCCATGAGAATGTTAAGGGAGACATTTTTGTGAAGCTGAGATGGAATTGTTCCAAAATCTGGTACGTACCGCAGTACAAACTGGCTTTTAATGATGTCTTCCATTAACGGTTGTCCATATCACAATTCTGTGTGAATCAGTAAATTCGAATATAGCATAGTATGAGGTCTGTATAGCTGTGATGTCGGATAAGTAATTTCATTAACGATTATAAAGTGATCTGAAAGCCCCCAGTGGAAATGTCAACTACACAGGCACTCTGTGACTTCAGCACATACACCGCTTCTGTTGCATATGGAGATGCCAGGTTCTCTTCCAAAACTACCACTGTTGAAAGAGATATGGGAAATATCATATAACTTCTGTCAGTACCCAGACAGAGGTGGCCACTTGCTGGGATGGGCGGCAGGAGAGAAGGTGCTCTTTAGGCCATAGGCTTCAACTGTGGGTGATGGAAACTGGCTCAGTAAGGCCTTTGAGTTATGAGCATGACTTTGGAGATGAGTCCTGTGCTGCTTTTCATCCAAAATTGACATATTTGCATATGAACTATTGCTTGACCTCTTCTAAATAATTGATTGCCACCTGCCATAGGATGGGAAGCAACAATTCCATCTCTTCTTCTTTCCTGTTTCCAGTAAAAGAAACTCATGGTCAAACAGAATACCATTTCTTTTAGCACCAGGGTAATCTCTTTCCCCATGGTTCATTCAAAGTATGCCTTTAGTGTGTGTTTACATGCTAGAAAACAAACAAATGATTTCTCCAATTCCATATGTCTGAGTACAAACCTGACTTGGCCATAAGTTAAAAAACAAACAAACAAACAACCACAAGCAAACCTTAGGGAACGAGATTTTGTGATTCACTGTTCTATAAATGCCTTCTCATTTTTGCAAAACAAAGTGCTAGCGCTTCTTGTTACCTGTTAGGATGACCTCGCATGATCTGTTTTAAAAAGAAGTGCTTTTTAGACATATATGAATCTCAGATGCATGCTAAAGCTGGTTGTAGGAATGTTTAGTGGAGGCTGCAAACTAAAATGAGGTAATTGTCCCAGTCAAATTGTTGATTACTCATTTTTCTGTCTTTCCTTTATAGGAACACTCTCCAAGGTTATGTATTTTAGGATCATAAGTGTAATTGTATCCTCAGAGCATATCAGTTCAGTTTATGTAGAGAGCATCATGGCATGTGTCATATGAATTCATTGAGTTGAGTGCTGTGCTGGTCTGCTGTTGTTCAGACTATCAGTAGTTTGCTTGTAAGTGTAAGAGAATGATCTTTGTTAAGATTTTCAGCCAGTAGATAGAAATCATCAGACCTTTTCCTTGGTCTTATTGTGCTGTTGATAACATTGTGACAGGAAAGGAAACTGATCTATTTTGTTGAGTTCATTGAAGATCAGTTTTAGAACTACTTCAAAATAAGCAATCATCTTCTATTCACAGAAGCAGTTTTCAGAAAACAACTGAAAACTTTGCTTTGTAATCACAGCTTAGGATCCAGCATTGAGAAATCAATCTAATTTTTAATATGGTCTTTAATGGAAGTGAAGATTTGTACTGCAGTGTGCTACCATCTCAGTGTCATAACTGTACATGTTTTCAGTGAAAAGTAGTAGTGACTTGAACATAATGAATGTATGAGGAGGGAAGATGTTGCTCTGAAAATCTATTTTGGACTTCAAAGAAATGTGAACAGAAGAGGTAGAACATATTAGATCACTGATCACTTTCTGCAGAGCCCTTAAAAGTCAATAGGAATTGCTGGATTGGATGCAATCAACCAAGCTTAGAATGAAAGCTTAATGAAAATATCGTCATAAGCAAACAGAAATTATGTTTGATGGTTGTGTTCACAAGGATATTACATTTCATGGAGACTCTTAAAAACATTACTTTTTCAGCAACTAGATGGAAAAAATATATCCTAATATGCTTTATACCTATTTTCCAGGGCCCACGCTATGAATTGCAGCACTCTGATTCATCCAAGAATGAGAAAGTCTAGCTAGTGTTCACACATTTCTCTCAAAACTGCTGAAGTGTTGTGTAACTGAGATAGTTATTAAGTTATTTTTGTGTATTAAGACAGTCACTTGGAACTTGTTGTGCTTGAGGGCAAGTTACTGTAACTGCCGTTGGGTCAGGTTTTTGTTTATTTCAGTTCACGTTGTGCTAGACCTTCATTTGTAGAGCTGGTTCAAATCTATATCTCTATATATTTTTAACTACTAGTGCAATCTCCAGTTAAGCAGAAGGGCTGACATTTGCATTCATATAGGTGTGTATGTAAGATTCGTTCTTGGCAGTAGTGAGTTGTGAGCTGTCCTCTAGGTGTGGTAGAGGCAAATGCTTATTTCTCATTTATTGTGCAGTGTGAAAAAACTGATTTGTGCTGTTAAGCCTACAGGTTAAGGCTTCCTATTCAGCAGAATATATACTATGGCTGTTGCTGCTTTTTTTTGTGATGAAGGGCATTTTCTTGGGTGTCTGTGTACTCTGATGACTAAGTCAGACTAAGGGAGACAGCAAATTATGAACATTTACCATAGGGGTTTTTCTTTTTTCCAGGGTTACTTTATTAAAAGTCATGTTAGAGTGAAGAGGCAGTGGAGCCATTTCAGCCCATCTTCAAAAGAGTGAGTGAAAACTTTGTATTTTTCTTGTGTGACTGATGGAACTATTTTGGCAGATCCTTCATGACTGAGCATCCTTTATTACAGATCTCACTGCAATCTATGGTGGAAAATAGAAAAATAACACAACATACATTGTATGTTTTACCTTGTTTACAGGAAACCAAGGCTATATTCACACTCATGAAAATTAATACAAACCACTATTCCAGCCTTCCTTGAAGAAGCCCCAGGGACATAATAGACCTTAATCATCCTCTAATGGAACAAAACCTCCTCCTCATGGACCATGCTACCTCTGAGCAACTGTACCCCTTTCCAGTCCTGTTCCTAGCCCAGTCTTCTTGTCGTCCTGGCATAACCCCTTAGATAGCCCCTGGCCCCTGTCCAACTCCTTCACTGCATACTAGTGTTGCCAGTGGGCCCCACTGCTGTCCCCAGTTCTGCCCTCTGCACTTTGGGTCTAGAGGGTGAGGGCTAGTGGTAACCTGGGCTGCATTAGACTGAGTGTTGCCAGCACATCAAGGTAGGTGATCTTTCCCTCCTTCAACACTGGTAAGGCCACACTAGTGCTACATCCAATTCTAGGCTCTCTAGTACAAGAGAGACATGGAGCAACTGGATTGCAAGCAGCAAAGAGCCACAAAGGTGATGAAGGAACTGGAATACTTCTTGTCTAAAGAAAGGCTGAGAGATCTGAGACTTTTCAGCTTAGAGAAGAGAAGGTTCAGAAGGCATCTCATTAGTGTGTGTAGATACCTGAAGGACAGATGCAATGAGAATGGAGCTAGGTTCTTTTCAGTGGTGCCCATTTACAGGACAAGAGTCAATGGGCACAGACAGGAACACAGGGGATTCCCTCTGAACAACAGGAAGCACCTCTTTGCTGTGAGGGTATTGGGGCACTTGCATAGATTGTCTAAAGAGGCTGTGGAATCTCCATCTCCTTTGGAGATACTCAAACAGTGTCTGGCCATAGTCCTAGGCAACCTACTCTAGGTGCCCCTGCTTGAGTGGATATGTTGGAAAGTATGACCTCCAGAGTTCTGTTCCAACCTCAAAAACTCTTGAGTAATTCTGTGTGGAAGGGCTCATCCCAGGGGACAGATTCCATGCATGACATAAACCAGTAATTCCATTCCATCTCTCACAGCACAGCTGTGTGCAGAAAAACAGTCATCACATCTTAAAGAAACCTCACTTGTCTTGCCCAAAATTGCAATTAGCTATTTTGAAAGCAGACATCAAAATGGACTAATGCAAAATATGATGAGACTACCTAACAGGTTCTTTGTTAAGCACAGCTTACTTGATGAACTTCACAAAGACCCTTATGGGCTCAAGAAGCAGGAACATTATAGGAAGGGTGTGATATGACTCAGGCAATCCTTTGGGACATGAAAGATGCATGGTAGAAAAATAAGACAGAGGACAGTCAATCCCTTATTGGCTCATACAACAACAAAAATATTTCTGCAAAGAGGTATATGTGGAGTGCTACCATTTCTATCTTTCACCCCTATTACAGATCTTGGGGTAACATTTTGTGTCAGGAAAGTTGACCCTGGCACTTCAATAAGGTCTTTTCCCTTAAGACTCCTCACCTTCACGCAATGATCAAAATTATGAAATAAAAATCCAATATATAATAATGCTACAAGAAGATATGACCCCAAGGATGATAGGACAGCTGCTAGCATGCTTAAGTATGGGAGCAAAAGGCTGTTGTCTGTTGTCCTTTGACTATTCACTAGAAGCTATGAAAAAGAAGTGGTGGAAGCATTTAAAAATGCTTTAATTGCATATCTATGGAAAAAGAAATATGACTGCCCATTATGTAAGAGTAATCTGGCATCTTCCTCCTATTTATACTTTGGAAATATTAGTTCAGATTGTTCATAACATGAGCTCATCCTTCTGATATAGTGGTGCCTCATGACCAGGCAGTTTCCAGACTGTCTGTGGTAACACTGAGATCATTATACTTGGACAGGCAAGCTCAGGAAAAGCAGAAAGATTATGAAAAGTTCAGTACTCAGCAAGATAAAGATTCATCTTTGTTCAGTGTTTTGGCCTGGAGTGTCTAATAGTAGATGCTTAAGGTTGATTACAAGCATAGAGAAAACACTCTTTACTTCTTCCCCCAGTATCTGCTCCCAGCTTCCAGTTATTGTCTTCTTCAGTACTTCTTCAGATCAGAATTCATATTCCAAGTGCCACCAATTGGACTAAATTGTCTGATTTTTCTTGTCCAAGACTCAGCAGTCTGCAAGTCCTCAGTGAACCAGGCTGGTCTTTAACTTCATTCTCCATGTTAGAGTAGTTTCTTGTTCCCAGCAGAGACTATCAAGGTTTTATGCTTGCATCTAGCCTACTCATTTTTCTGTCCTTGGTAATGCTTCTCAGAGTATGACAAAGGAATGTACCTTCACTAGAGAACTGAAGGTCATCAGCTTAATCTCATGAGATTGAAAGCCCAAAAAAGGTATCATAATTTGCTAATAAAAGCAGGATTTCATGTCTATTTTCTGGAAGTCCTCAGGCTATCCTCAGTTTCCCTACTGTCATCCAGAGATGTTTGTCTTCCCATTAGTATACAGAAGGTGGAGGTCACTGTATGAGCTATCCGAAGGCAGCTGTTTAGCTTCACAGCCACAATTGATGAAACAAGGTTCAAAGTGATTGACATGTTTACCTTGGTAGCACTCTCCCCAGATCAGCAATAATTAGGATGAGATGTCCTTGTGCTTTTGGGAAGAAATCTTGTTTTGATCATCAGCAGAATCATATTTGGAATGAAGGATGCATCCAAGGCTCTGCCAAGGCTCTGATGTTTGCTTCCTGCTCTTTTCCATAAATGCTCTTGTGTGATGGTATACAGTAGGCATATTCAGCAATCAAACAACTCCATTAATGCTACTAATGCCAAATGTTGGATATTGACTAGCATAGTTTTGTAACAAACACCAAGCTTCTAACTTGCAGCTTCTTCCCAAGTAGCAAAATTGCCAATGCAAAATTGTTTCTGGGCTTGCACCGGCCTCAAACTTGTCTCCTTCCCCAGTTTGCTAATATAAAGAGGATCACTTTGAAGATGATACTTTTATCTTTTCAGAACACCATGAAAATCTTCAGTCAAAATCGCAAGGTTGTCAGGAAAAGGCTTTGGATTCAGATGTCTCTTAAATCTTTTGGGTATAGCCTCAGCCTCTGAGATGAAGTACTCTGGCAAGATGTTGGCCATGAGAGAAGAAAAATTAACAAAGGTGAAACCATAATTCATGTTCTGGTCACATAAAATTTGCATATTGGGTATGTGATGATACCATTTCATTCCAGACTGGCTTATTTTGACAGATATATGCAGAGATAGTGAAAGTGAAAACAGCTAGAACTGATTGTCAAGCAGGGATTATCAGCTGCTTTGGACAACTGACAATTTATTGGTTAAGTTCCACTACAGAAATGAAATCAAAATTCCTTTGTGTTTACAGGTCTTACTGTTTAGTATGAAACTTTGGAAACTTAGGTTTGTTTCCACAGTTCGAGATGGACTCTTTTCTCAGCTATTAAATTAGAAGTGGTACACATGATCTATTTCTCAGTCTTGGAAATTTCAGAAATGAAGGTTATTCAGTTGCAGGACTCTGTTACATCAGAGGAGTTGATGACAGTACAATAGCATCCCTACTTTAGCTATAATATGATTCTTGGCCTGATCTGTAACTTACTAAAGTTAAATGAAGAATGACCACTGATTTCATTCAGCACTGAACAGTGAATTAAACTCTAAGCAAAGAGAAAGATAAGATGTCATTTTTATATCTACAGAACTTGAAGAAATTTTGTCCAGGAAGTCAAAGTCACTTTCATTTAACAGCCCTTAGATGCTAAAGATACTTCTTATCCTAAATAAGAATAGAACTTATTTTATCAGCACTGTTTTAATTGGCTGGATTACAATGCTTTTTAATGTGAGTACAGAGGGTATATTTACAAACATTAACAGAAACTTAGCATGTATTTCTAATGTGTAGGTGGGGTACTTGGGGACACGGTTAGTGGGCATTGAGGTGATGGGCTGAGGGTTGAACTAGATGATCTTAGAGGTATTTTCCAACCTTAAAAATCCAGTGATTCTATGATTCTGTGATTCTATGTATTAGAAACTACTTGGCTGAATGTATATTTTTCCTACCTGAGTAACTTCTCAGTAATTTGAGAAGAAACACAAAACTGAAGTTAGATTCTGTAAAAAACCATTAAAAAACAAAATTAAAAAAAAAGGTTCAGCCTTGTATTTTTTGATGCATGTTTAAATTCCATAGTGATTTCAGTCTACAGATTTGAAAATGCCCAGAAGACTATATCGGCACTTTATCAGTTTCAGTGCATCCATTGTTTTTTTTTTAATACGTCTGTCTCAGTTGCTATACTGCCTAAAGGCCAATAGAATACTATTACAATTGAAACAAGTTCTTAAATTTAAATTTGGGAAAGACTGCTGCTGCATTTTCTATCAACTTCAGCAAAAGTATATGGAGGAAGTGACATAACCTAGATTCACATTTGCAACAGGATTAATAGTAAGATTTTGTATTCAAAGGGACACAGGAGATTGAAGTTATATAATATTTCAAAGCTGCTGAAAAAAGCAACTTGATAATGAAGGTAATATGAAGTGAAATATCCAAGGTTTAAAGTAACTCTGATGGAATGATGCTGTTAAAGTCGCTAGGAATGCTGCTTCTCTGGAGATAACTTTAGCAAGTAACTAGGCCAATGAATTGAAGCTCTCAGCTTCATCTTTAATAGATAAGAAGCTAGTTTTGCAAAAATACAGCGCAGCATAGTTAAGGGGAAGATCTGATAATGGCACTAGCCAAAGTTCTCTATTGGATGTCTTTTCCATACTTACTCCTGCTTAACCGTATCTGTTTCTTACTACCCTGTTCTCCTACCTTTTCTCCACAGGCTCCAAAACAACACCAAAGCTGATGAGT